AGAAAGCATAAGATAAATCTATTGAATGACAGGTTATAACCTGCATTTATAGCCAAAGGTTTTTTGAAGTACAATGTTTCAGAGCTTCATTACCGTGTGATAGTATTTGCAGGAAAAAATGACTGCAGCTAAGAACTGATGCCATTCTCAGTACCAAAGTAAGCAAAATTATGAGACTGAAAGATCATGGTAGATAAGTTTTTGTTTTGTTTTTTTAAATCATGGTAGATAAGTCAGAATTTGCAAAAGGTTGGATATTGTCTACCAACTTTTGGAAGAGAGAATATGGTCAACTGGTTTATATATCTTATGTATTTGTACATAGTTTTAAAGGTGTACTTGATCATTTGTGTCTTTGAGATCTGTTAAGAGACTATTCTTTGAATAAGCGGAGTACTTGATTTTTTTACGTTTAATAAAAACAAGATTGATTTAAAACATGAATAAATGATGCAACCATTATATGCGAAAATGGAGCAAAGCAAAAGCTACAGGATGAAGGAACTGATTCTAAATTGATTACCATTACATTTCTACAAGGAAATCCTGAGGCGTGTGCTGTTTTGAGAATTTCTTGTTAAACATTTCTGCCTTAATCACAGAATCAGGCAGTTCTTGGAGAATGTTGTACCCCTCTTCATGAAGGGGAAAAAGGAAGATCCGGGTAACTACTGACCCGACAGCTTGACGTTGTACCCAGGAAAGTTTTAGAACAAATCATCAAACAGTCCTTGAGCATTTAGAAAGGATGGTTGTAATTACTAAGAGCCAGCATGGGTTTCTCAAAAATGAGTCATGTCAGACTAACCTTATCTCTTTTTTTGAGAAAGTTACTACCTTGCTGGATCAGGGGAATGCTGTAGACATAGTTTATCTTGATTTCAGTAAGGCTTTTGATAAGGTTGCACAAAATATTCTTGTTGACAAATTGGAAAAATGTGGTTTGGATCCTATGACAGTTAGGTGGATCTGTAACTGGTTGACAGATCGCACCCAAACAGTGCTTGTGAATAGTTCCTCATTCTCTTGGAGAGGAGTGATAAATGGAGTGCCTCAGAGATCTGTCCTGGAACCTGTTTTGTTCAACATCTTTATAAATGATTTGGATGAAGAAATAGAGGGAATGCTTATTACATTTGCAGATGATACTAAATCGGGAGGGTTAGTAAATATGATAGAAGACTGAGTCAGGGTACAGGATGATCTTGAAAGTCTGGAAAACTGGGCTAAAACAAATAAAACGAATTTCACTGGGGATAAATGTAAAGTTCTGCATTTAGGTATGAAAAATCAAATGCATAATTATAGGATGGGGGAGGCTTGTCCTGGTGGTAGTATGTGCAAAAAGGATCTAGGGGTCTTAGTAGTACACTGAACATGAGTCAGCAGTGTGATGCAGTAGCTAAAAAGGCAAAAGCCATTTTGTGCTGTATCAACAGAAGTATAGTGTCCAGATCATGTGAAGTATCGCTTTACTCTGCTTTGGTTAGACCTTACCTAGAGTACTGTGTTTAGTTTGGGGCACCACAATTTAAGAAGGATATAGACAATCTGGAACTTGTCCAGAGGAGGGCAACGAGGATGGTGGAGACCAAGTCCTATGAAGAAAAGTCAAAAGAGCTGGGTATGTTTAGCCTGGAGAGGAGCCAATGGAGAGGGGTGATATGATAACCATCTTCAAGTACTTGAAGGGCTGCCATATAGAGGATGGTGCAGAGTTGTTTGCTGTTGCCCCAGAAGGTCGGACCAGAACCAACAGGTTGAAATTAAATCAAAAGAGTTTTCAGCTAAGCATTAGGAAGAACTTCCTGACAGTTAGAGCAGTTACTCCGTGGAACAGGTTCCCTTGGGAGATGGTAGGCTCTCCTCCTTTGGAGGTTTTCAAACAGAGGCTAGATGTCCATCTGACAGCAATGCTGATTCTGTGAGCTTAGGCAGATCACAAGAAGGGAGGGGAGGAAGGGTTGCCTTAGTGCTTAGTTCTTGTGGCCCTTTCTTACACGCCCAGGGAAATGGATTCTGTGAACTTAGGCAGATCATGAGAGGGAGGGCAAGAAGGCTTGCATCAGTGCTTAGTTCTCATGGCCCTTTCTTATATGCCCAGGGAAATGCCGACCGCCTCTCTGGGGCCAGGGATCCTGGAGGGTTTTTTTGTCATCTTCTGGGAGTGGAACAGCAGTCACTGGGGGTGTTGAGGGGGAGGTATTTGTGAATTTCCTGCCTTGTGCAGGGGGTTGGACTAGATGACCCTGGCGGTCCCTTCCAGCTCTATGATTCTATGACTCTATGATTCTAAATGTTTTCAGTAAAGACCCTTGAAAATGCTTAACTGCTGGGACTTCGACCTCTGTGATTGTACCAGACAGGGCTGGATTTATGCTCAAACTAATTAATACTGTTTAAGGCATCAGATTACAGGGGGGCCTCAAGTAAAAAAAAAATTGCTAAATATGACCATTTTTTGGCATTTCTAAGGGCTGAAGTACGTATTAATCTGGCCCTGGTAAGTGAAAGAGAAAGGCTGCTAGGTCGTACCGTTGCACCAGCGGGGGGATTTAGGGGGTGTTCCTGGAGGTTGTGGGGACATTGTGCAACATCCCCGACACAATGATGTCACATGGAAGTGACATCATGATGTCGGGGATGTTGCGTGGCGATGCTCGGTTTTTGGGGCAAAACTCTATGGTAAATGTGGGGTCAAACCGTAGAGTTTGCCCAAAAGCAGAGCGTTACCATGCAACGTCCCCCAGCATGGTGACATCACTTCCGTATGACATCATTGCAGTGGGGATAACGCTGCATGATGTCACTGTTTGGGGGCGGGTTTCCACCGCTAGCCAGTTGGCTGTCAGCGGGCATAAAGCCCTGAAAAGTGGGGGATCCCCCACCCTAGCCTGAAAAATGGGAACCCTAAACATGAGAGACAAGGAAAGGGAAGAGACTCTACAATATGGCACCTTTCCTGGGCAGCTGTAATTACCAGATCAGCTACAAGGAGAAATGTGCCTATACAACCATATCCTTGCCCTCTCTTCTTCTTCTACAACCTCTGTACAAAATCCTGAGTAATTATCTATAAAGCTCTGGTGGGTCCCCCTATTAGCTCCCCCAAGAACCAACCCTAAACCCAAGAATCTTTAGCAGCTACATAACATATCTAGAGCAGGCTTTGGATCTAATGTTCTTTAACGTCTCCTGTTGTGCAGCATTTTGTGGCTATGGGTCTATTCCTTCACACTTTGCAAGACAGGGAGGTGTGATTGGCAGTATCTATTTGAGTAACGTTTCACTCCCGCTGCTGGTCAGTAAATGATCCTGAGAACCCTCTACCATTCACTCAGCCCGATTACTGGGTTGTAATTTGTCCTCTTATGACCGCACATGCAAGCTTAGCAATCAAAGTGCTCCCCCCCATTTAGTATCCCAGGAGATGTCCTTAAGCAAGGACTCCTGCCTGCCCCTCCACTGAGCCTGCTGCCTGCCGGACAGAGGAAAGGAGAGGTCTTCCCAGATGAGTGGGAGAAAAGCCAGCACGTAGCAACCTGGCATCACAAAAGACCATCCAGGGAAGGGTGCTGATGACAGCCCTTCCTTTTAGGGAGCAATTTTCTTTTTGGGTCTTGTTTTATCAAAGGGACCACATAGAAAAAAGGTGGCCAACTGGATGACTTACGAGCTGGGTTCAACCCCCACAAAGCAGCTCCCACTGCCCCCCCCCGCTGGCTCAACTTTAATTGAAGAGTGATTTAAAGGGGGAAAAGTCCCTCTTCGCTCACTCGTAAGGAAAGAGAAGCTCCACGTGAAGCTGTTCCCTCCAGGCAAGAGAGGATGCTGACTTGAGTACGGAACCTGGTTTTTGGTGAGGGAGGCTGGACACTCCTAGAGGGTTCTGGGCCAGCTGATGTCTAGAGAACCTGAACCCAGACGCTGGCTATCCCTGCCGTGTAGTGGAAAAGGCATCTCTTACAGTCTAAGCTCCACAGACCTCCTAGAAGACAAACCGTCCCATCCACCTACCTTCCGTGGCAAGAGAACACACAGACCTGCTGCCCCTTGACACCAGCCTATTAAAATAAATCTATACATGTGTGCATGTTTCTATATGCAGCGTATACACACATATATATACACTCTGCATGTTTCACACTCAGAATATAAATATATATTCAAGAACAGTGGGAAGGACGTACATTCAGCAGCAGGGGTCCCCCTTTCTTGCCCCACCCTTACTAGATTTCCCCACAGAACAAGATGACCGGATTGGCTTCACTCAGAGCTTAACCTCTTGACCCCCCACACTCTGCCAGGGTCGCCCACTGGGTCTCTGTTGTGCCTCCCCCACAGAATGCAAGGCTTTTTGTGTGTGGTTTTCATTTTTTGGATGGAAACAAGCCCCAAATCACACTCTGTCCAGGACGGCTCCATTCCAAGGCCTCCATCCCTGGGGAGGCTTTGGCTGGGTCCCTCGGCCCCACCCAGGCCACTGGATGACCCACGGGTGGTCCCCCCAACGGTGACAAAGTGGTCATTCTCAAGAAATTCACCACACAAACCCCAAACGCCCCTATTAGGTTTCTTTGTGGGCTTTCCCCCCTTTACCAGCCATCTAGGACCAAAACAAGACCGTGACCAGGTGGTCCTCCTGCTGGGCTCCGTGTGTTCCCTTTGGGAGCAGCTCTTGGCTCTGGGCAGTATAGAGCTCCACATGACCCTTGGGAGGAGGGCAACTGTCACCGTGTTTTCACTCTGACTAATCAAGCGGGTGCCCCGTTGCTGGTCCATGGTTGTTGAAGCTAATCAAATGCTTCTCTGTGCAGTTGAGGGGGAAAAGGGGGAAGGAACAAAAGAAATCAGTGGGATGGGCTTGTTTCTGCTTTTGGGGGTGGGGTGGGGGTGCAAAGCCCCTGTTTCTGCTGCATTTGATTCGCATTTCATTTCATTCCCAAATGTGGCAAACAGCATGCGTCAGAGGGGAAGGGGGGAGAAGAGGGAGGCAGCCTTTAGCACTTGTCGTCTTCTTCCGTATCGCTAAGTACGTCGATGCCCGCCATCGACATCACCCCCTGCGGCACCCCTCTCCTCCTTCTCCGGTAGTGCCCGTTGGGCATCTGCCAGCTGTGCCCCGAGCGGGGCCCCACCGCGATCGTGTTGGAGCGGCCCAGGCTGGTGGCCACAGCCGCCTCGAAGGTGAGCGTCTCCTCCTCACCACAGTCTGAGGCGTGGGAGTCGTCCTGGAGCATCAGGTACGGCTCCGAGATGTAGCGCTGCGGGGTGGAGAGGAGGCCCTGCTTTCCCTGCGGGGAGCTGGAAGACTCAGTCAAGCAGGCGTTGTTGGTCTCCAGAGCCCCAGAAAGCAAAGGGGAGCCACCCTCGCTGTCATCGGGGGGCGGGGAGGCGTCACCGCAGTGCTGCATCATGGCGGAGTAGGAGATGAGGGGGCGCGGCTTTGGTGGCACTGGAGGGAGCTGGCGGCGGCTTCGCCTTGGCGTGCTGGTGTCAGATATGGAAGGGATGGAGCTTTCGCTCAAGGAGCCCGTACCCTGCAACAGCAGAGAGAGAGAGAAACACACATGTAGAAAGCTAGCAATAGGTAAGCCTCAAATATTATCATTCTGTAAAATGTATGAAATAGAACTGTTTAAGAGGGCATTTAATAGGCAATATCTTCTGCAATTAAAAAAAATTGGTTTAGGGTCTGTGGGAAATTTTTAGGTAGTTTTGGCCCCGGTCACACGGGCCAGATAACGCGGGGGGGGGGGGGGGGGGGGCATTTTGTGCGACACCTGACCTGCCAGAATTCGATCAGACGCATCAGCGGCACACCACGGTTCCATCCCTCGGCACCTGCGCTTCAACGAAGACGGCCAGAGGGAAAAGCCGCATCAGCGTGATCACACGGATGGAGTCTGCCGCAAATCATTTGCCAGTACTTCTGTGCAGGTACTTTTTAACCGTGCATTTTCGGCAGGATGCCACGGGTTGGACACAGGTGTGCTACGCCCACCAGATGTTGCGGTGTGTGATCGCATCTGGAAAATCCGCCCAACCTTCGTGGCTCTCCCACAGCAAATTTGGTGTGTGAACGGGGCCATTGTTGCTTTCATTGTATTTATGGGGTTTTAAAAATTATCTTGTTGGGTATTCGATTTTGTAATCCACCTGGGATCTCTATGAGAAAGGCAGGCCGACTAGAAATGAAGTCAGTAAATAACCCAAGTAGACAAATAATCCAAGATGATTGCTGCCTCTTTGTGGACGTCAGTTGCCTAGGGCAGTACATGTGTACAAGGGTTTTTTATACTCTGCTAGCCTGATACCCATGCTTCACTATGGTATTTAACTTCCGTAAATCCAGTTATAATACTGATGATGTAAAGTTTGAAATGTGACATTTGTTGTAGGAATTCTAGTGGAGAAGATTGTAGTGTAAAACATGAAGTGAGACATATGTACTTTCCCCCCCTCTACTGAAGGACCTCTCTGTAGACTGCTGGGGCGGGCTCCCTCATGGCTTTAAGCACCCTGCAACCACTGCTGCACCTGACAGACAACAGCCTGTTAGGTGTACGAGGTGGGGGGAGTGTGTTGGAAACCATCAGAGAGGCTGGGCCAGCAGCATCGGTAAGGTGATCCTGCTGGGGCGGCATCCCTGATGGATTAAAGTATCCTGGTCCTGCTCCTACACCTGACAGACACTCGCCTGTCTGGTGTTGGGGGGATTATGTTGAAAGGAGTCAGGGAGGCTGGCCAAACCTCCCCGGCAGCTGTAAGCATCCCACCTCCTCTCCTACACCTGACAGGCAGCTGGCTGTCCAGTGTAGGGGGGGCGGAGTATTAGAAGCCACTGTGGAGGCAGGGCTCGCGGGATCACTAAGGCATTACTGCTGGGGCAGGCTCCCTTGTGGCTTAAGCACCCTGCAACTGCTGCTGCACCTGACAGACAACTGCCTGTTAGGTGTAGGAGGGGGGAGCACATTTGAAGCCATAGGGAGGCTGGGCCAGCAGCTTTGCTTCACCTCACAGGCCGTTGGCCACTCCTTATTTCCTCAACTGTCATTAGCTCTCTGTAGTCCCCTGTAACTGTTTTTTTTTAACCTCAGAACACTGAGCTCTGCAGCTGACCAATCAGAAACTGGGGGGGGGTGTGTGCAAGGAGGCAGTAGCCTGGCAGCTGCATAGGAATTAATGGGGGAGCACATCTTACCCCTTTTGACCCCCTTAGGGGTCAAATTTCTAAAAAACCCTTCTTAGTGAGCACCTACGCCATGGTAGGAGCGCTTTCCCCGAATTTGGTGTTTCTAGGTCCAGGGGTTTGGCCTGGGTGTTGATTTTACAGTGAGGGGACTTTCTTTTATATACATAAAGGTATATACATAAAGGTAAAGGTTTCTCTTGCTCGAAAGCCAATCAAATCCAACTCTATGGTTGCAGTGCTCATCTCTGTTTCCAAGCCGAAGAGCCAGCGCTGTCCGAAGATGTTTCCGTGGTCATGTGGCCGGCATGACTAGACGCCGAGGTACACAGAACGCTGTTACTTTCCCACCAAAGCGGTACCTATTCATCTACTTGCAATTTCTTGCTTTCGAACTACAAGGGTCAAATTGCGAGAAATACCAGTGGAAGGAAGAAGCCTCTGACTGAATAAATGGGGTTTTATTATGGATAAATGCAAACTCCACACAACACACTCATACAAAAATAACAACAATAGATCAACATACATAGAGCTAGGAAACAGAGAGGTGAACGATAGTGACAAGGAGGGGGTTTATTTTAGATTAGGGCGATATTCACCTGATCCTGAAGTCCGGAATCCACGTGGAAGAGGAGGACACGGCTGACCAGCGGTTCGTGTCAAAGGCTCAGTCAGAGTCTGAGGATACACTCTTATGGGCGCCTCAAGAGCTGCACAAAGATTAAGGCGCAGAGTGCCAGTGGAAGTGTGGTTTGGGGAGCCAGGGGTGGGCTGGCCCAGGGTGTACTGAGTAGCCAGATTAGAACTGAGTATGTGCAGGATGCCTGGTTTCACCAGTGTTTGTCTTTCTATGTGCCAGTGGCTCGATGTGGAATGGGGAAGGACGCCAGGCTTCTGGAAATGCGTTTGAAGAGACAGTTCAGTTTACTACGGTGATGCCAGGGACAGGGAAGATGGTATTAGGGATTAGTGAAATGGCGAGGCTGGCTATCTCATCTCAGAAGCTAAACAGGGTTGGCTCTGGTTTGTATTTGGAGGGAAGACCACTAAGGAAGTCCATGGTTATGACCAATGTTCCCTCTAAGCTGAGTTAGTGTGAGCTAGCTCACAATTTTCTTAGCCTCCGGCTCACACATTTTTGTCTTAGCTCAGGAAGGATGGGGCTCCAGAGCAAACTAATTTATGCAGTAGCCAAATCACTCGCTCACAAGTTTAATGCCAGTAGCTCACAAAGTAGAATTTTTGCTCACAAGGCTCCACAGTTCAGAGGGAACATTGGTTATGACACAAAGGCAGGCAATGGCAAACCGCCTCTCGATGTCTCTTTCCTTGAAAACCCAAAGGGGGTTGCCATAAGTCGTCTGTGACTTGACACCACCATCTGCTATCTCTCTCTCAGATTTGTGGTTTCCCCCCATCTTAGGCAATTTATTGTGGAGGGAGACTGTTAATTCCCCCCCTTGCCAGTATCTGGCCAGATACTTGCCAGATCTTGGAAAGAAGCATTTGAAATTACAACTTTGACCTGATCGTGGCAGCCTCAAGATCAAAAAGTACAAACAGGTCCTGACCTGGCTAGCCCTGGCAAGCTCGTTCTCGTCAGATCTTGGAAGCTAATCCGAGCCGACCCTGGCAAGTATCTGGAAGGGAGACCTCCAAGAAATGCTAGGGCTGGGATGCAGAGGCAGGTAATTGCAAGCCACCTCTCTGAAAGGTCCAAGCCCCTCTAGGGGTTGCCAGAAGTCAACCATGACTTCCAGATATACACACACACACACACATGCACAAAATACTCACAAAAAAGTACAAACAGAACCATCATATGACTATACGTAACCTCAGATATGCAGTGAAACGATAGCAACTGATGTACAAGCATGTGGCCCTATGTTTTTCAACAGATGGAACACACATTTTGTTGATCTCATTTTCCTTGACAGTGCTGGCTTCACACCTACCTGTCTGTTCGGCGTCTGTGACCTGCCCTCACTAGGCGACCTGGACTGACGTCGTTCTGGAGAGTCGCCATCTGCCTGCGGACTCCTTTCCTCTGAGTTGCAACGGGAGATGTCTGGGGAGAGCAGGTGCTTGCGTTCCTTGGAGCGTCCTCGCTCTCTGCCTCCGGACCGATGCGTGTCGGATCGGTGGCCTGCACAGGGCAAAGTCAGGGTTACCAAGGTCCTCAGGGATTATGAGGACCACAAGTCAACTGACACCCTGTCATATTGCAGATTAACCTACAATCATGCTTCAGTAACTTTTGATTTGTGGACAATTTAAAAAAAAAGGATCCAAAGTTATCGTAGTTCATAGGGTACCTTCAACATGAATCTAAAGAGGTGGCATAAATCCTAGATGAATGTTATCTAAGATCAGACCAGAACCTCTAAAGAGGTTTTGGCTAAACATTAGGAAGAACTTCCTGATAGTTAGATTGGTTCCTCAGTGGAACAGGGGAGGTGGAGGGCTCTCCTTCTGTGGGAGGCTTTTAAGCAGAGGCTAGATGGTCCCATCTGACAGCAGGGCTTATTCTGTGAATTTAGGCAGACCATGAGGGCTCTCCTCCTGTGGGAGGCTTTTAAGCAGAGGCTAGAGGGTCCCATCTGACAGCAAGGCTTATTCTGTGAATTTAGGCAGACCATGAGCAGGAGGGCAGGAAAGGATGAGCCAGGGCTCGGCTCTCGTGGCCGTTTCTCGGACGCCCAGTGTAAGGTTGATTGCCACTTTGGGGTCAGGAAGGGATTTTCCTCCAGGCCTGATTGGCCCAGGGATCCAAGAGGGTTTTTTCTTGTTTTGCCTTCCTCTGGGCATAGAGCAGGGGTCACTGGGGGGAGTATGGAGGTAGTTATGAATTTCCTGTATTGTTTAGGGGGTTGGACACAGTCGTGTTTCTATGTTATAGTGTAAGAATTAGGGGCTGCCGCAGTGCATGCCGCCGCCGAACACGGCCCGCAAAGTTATCATTCAGCAGCTGCCATAAGAGTGACGAGCAGAATAACACCTAAGCACTTTTCTGCTGGAAGCTGGAAACCCATCTGGAAGCATTCCTTTTAACTGCTACCAGCACTTTGTAATGTATTAATTTTAACTGTTATGTTTTAATTTGTATTATGTATATTTTTATCATGTGTTTATGTCACTGGAAGCCGCCCTGAGCCTGCTTTGCGGGGTATAAATCTGACAATAAATAAATAAATAAAGATACCACACTGCTCCTGTACTGTTCTCTTAAACCCACAAGAAGTAATTTACAGCAAATATCAGCACCCCAAATCCAATACCAGCTGCCTTTCAGGATGACTTGGTTAAGGCCTCTCTGCCATTTAAACATAGAACCGTGCGTAACAGTCTAATTTTAACAACAATGAATACAGAACAGAAGTTCGTTTTTTAAAAACATGCCAACTTCTATTATCTTTTCAAATTCAGCTTTATTATTTAATGCAGTGATATTCTTAAAATATGCTACATACAGTTGCTGAAAGGTTGGAGGTATTTCCCTACCCATTCTTTCCTCAAGTAATTAAAAATATGTCAGTTTTTTAAGACATCCTCTGAAATAGTTAACCAAGTGCCTTTCCGGACTGAAACATCACCCAGCACTATGAGCTTATAATACAGAAAAAAATGACATCCATGGTGACCACTCTGGGTTCAATACCAGCTTCAGCTTTTTCCAAACTGCCGAAGTGGTCTTGACTGAAATCAGTCTATAATCCTTAGATTTCTCCAGAAGCCATAGAAAGACTTTTCAATGAAAACCCCCCAAAATGATTCTGCAGCTGAGTTATTTTCCCCGCTTATAAACCAATCACCCTTTCCCGATAATTCTGATGATTTGACTGCTCAATAATTGGTGATTTACTCCAGTTTGGTGTGGTGGTTAGGACAGATTAAATATGATATTAGCAGAGAGAGATGATAACGCTTATAAGAAAAGATGGTTTAAAGTGTATAAATGGTTTGAAAAAAATGTAGAATGAACACTCCGAAACTGATTTGTACAATGGGAATGTACTTGGATTTTTATTTTTTGTTTGTTTGTTTGTTGGAAAAAGTATAAATAAATTCTATAAAAAAAGAGAAAGAAATAGCTGTCCTTGAAAAAGAGCAGTTTGTGTCAGAGCTCTCTCAGCCCCACCGACCTCACAGGGCGTCTGTTGTGGGGAGGGGAAGGGAAAGGAGTTTGTCAGCCGCTCTGAGACTCCTTTGGGTAGTGAAGGGCGGGGGTATAAATCCAATCTCTTCTCTCTTATTCTCTTCTTCTTCCTTTGGCACTGGTTTGTAAAGGGCTTTACAAGAAATCCCAGGGGCTTTGTTAGAGCACACAGATTTTTGAATTCACTTCTGCCACCTATCTATAATTGAAGATTTAACAACCAAAGGCACATTCAAGGATATAAAAATTTTTTTTTAGGTAACACATTCATTTCTTATCACAGAGACCCTTCCAAGCTAAGACATAAATAGGCTACCTGAAATTGAAAACCCCAAATTGAAAATCTCTGATTATTAATATCGGGCAATGACATCAGCCGTGTCATTCTAAGCCGAGTTATGCTCTTCTAGACCCATCAACTTCAATAGACTTAGGAGGGCAGAACTCTTCTTAGGAGTCCAGTGTAAGTCTTTGTTAGCTATGCTGTCATGATGTTTTTGGGCCTAGAGTTCACCTGCCTGACCTGTGTACCAGTTGGTGCCACATTCCTTTCCTCTTGCTTCTCCCCTTGTTATCTCTGACCTTGTACTCCTGCCTGTGTAGTGTCTCCACTTTAATTAACCGTGAGACTAGTTTCGTTTCTCAGCCTAGAATCGGTTACTCTTTCCTGCCCGCGGGAAAAGGGGCGATTGGCCCACAGATGTGTGTGTGGGGGACCTTTTGAATCTGCTATATTATTGTATGCTTGTTCCTGGCTAGTCATTCCTAACAGTGACCATGTTACTGCAACCATAGTACTGAGTTTAAAGCAAAACCTTTCTTGGAAGTGTGTCCTCCATTGTTTGGCTGTGGGTCCTGACAGTCTTCAACAGTCTAAATGCTGAATTCTGTCAGGACCCACAGTCAAGCAACAGAGTACACGCTTCTACAAAGGTTATACTTTTATTGCCAGTACAATGGTAGCATGAGCATAGTCACTGTTAGGAATGGCGAACCCCTAGACTCAGGGAGAGATATAGTAGATTCAAAAGAACCCCCCCCCACATACTACGGGCCAATCGGCCTGTCTCCTGAGAGTGGGAACAAGTACCTGGGCCGTTAATACTAAAAGCTGGGAACCGAAACCAGTCTCACGGATGAGTTATGTGGAGACACTACATCTGCAGCCTACAAGGTCAGAGATAAGGAGAGGAGAAGCGCAGGGAAAGGAATGTGGCTCAGGCTGGTACACAGGACAGGGAGGGGGTCCTGGAGGGGCCCCTTAACCTTATTGCAGCATAGCTGACAAATTGTTCCTTTATCCCATGGAACGTGACACAGTTTAAGCAATACTGTCTTTAGAAGACTGGCAAATATTAATCCCATCATTTTAGATTTAATCAGTTTAATCAATTATATCTGAAAACGTCACTATACCTACCCAATAGATGAAATAAAGTTTGAAGAGACTCCTTTGGATGGGACAACATAAGCAAAATATCATCAGCATATGAAGGGCTCTTATATGTCTCTGAACCAAACTGTATACCTTGCATATCAATGTCTTGCTGAATACCTTTAGCCAACACTTCAGCAGAAAATGCAAATGATGATGGGGAAAGTGGGCAGCCTTGTGTCATATCATGTGTTAATGCAAAACTGTCTGAAATGTTTCCATTCACTGAGGCCCTTTCTGCACCGACACCTTGCTCCGGAGAATCCGAGGAGTCAAGGGCTGACTTCGCAGCCGCATGCATCCCCTCTGCACTGGTCCCCCCCCCCCGGTTTCTTTGTCTTGTGAGCAAAAATTCTACTTTGTGAGCTCCTGGCATTAAAGTTGTGAGCCAGCAATTTGGCTACTGCACACATTAGTTTGCTCTGGAGCCATCCTTCCTGAGCTAAGGCAAAAAGGCGTGAGCCAGAGGCTAAAAAACTGTGAGCTAGCTCACACTAACTCAGCTTAGAGGAAACACTATCCCCCTGGTCCTTTATATTTACTGGTTCCTTCTTATGCTCCCTCTGGCTTTTTAAAAGTTTGCCTGAGTGAGAAGACAAATCCTCTTTTGACTTTGGAGGAGGAGGGAAAGGAAACAGAACAGAGAGGGAGCGTCAACCTAAAGAGAGAGAGACCCAACCCTGAGATCTCAGACCAGAGGATTAGTGTCTCCTGTTTTCTAGTCTGCCAATAACCCAGCATCACACCTAGCAAAAAGGCTTCTTCTACCCTTTATGGTCATCCTTTACATAGCTTCATCAGAGTGGGGAAGCGAGTCTTACAAGTGTCCCCCCTGCCCTGGTTTTCTTACAGTAAATCCACAAAGAAATCACACACAAGAAAGATGCTTAATGGGGATGGACTTTAAAGAATATTTAGAGAAACATTAGGATGTTAAGAACAACTTGTTTTGCTTTGATAATTATTAAGAATAGAATGAGGAAAGAGTTGAGTAGGAGATTATTATAGTTAAAGAAAATGTTACCTATGAAGTCGAATATGAGATTATTATAGTTAAAGAAAATGTTACCTTTGCAGTTTTGTTTTAGAGGAAGGAATAGATAAGAAAAAGAGATTTGGTGGGGGTGGGATCACTGCGGGAAGCCTGAAGAAGGGGAGGGAGGGGGAAAAGGAAAAGGGGTATAATGTGAATGATGGAATGCTATCATATTGGACATGCTGTTATATCCTGATAATAAAATGTTGTGTTGTTTTTTTTAAAAAGAAAGAAAGATGCTTAATGGGAAAACAAAGTTTAGCACATCTGCACCTTCCGTGAGAAGGCAGGAAATGCATCAGGGTGCCATACCCTAAAATCCAGAATGGGGGTGTGCAAGAGAAACCCACACAGATGCCAGTGCAGGTATTGCGTCAGATATTTTACAGCTCGATCCAAAGGATTATCCAGGACACACACTGGTGTGGAGCTGAATCACAACTTGCCCCAAAGCCTGTGCTGGAATGCCCACAGTCACATCCCTCCTCTCACTGGAGGAGGGGCTCTGAAATGGGGCTG